ACACACAGACAACCTCTCGTCAATATGCGTTTTTCGCATTGCATTTCTGCAAAAAACGCATAAAAACTTCACAGAATTAATGAAATGGAACGCCTAGTCTGTAATACGCCTCACCATGGACTAGAAGTATCAACGCGTGGGACGAGAATGTGATGCTTAACATACAGGAAGGAGATTGTTGAAGCCTTGCTAAGTCTTCTGGGAGGAGAACTAATGCACCATCAATCTCATCTGAAGGCGCTAAAGTCACTAGCAGGCTATCCAGCACGCGGTAGAGCACAAGTCAAAGCAGCCACAAAAGTCGAAAAATTGCCAGCTGTATAGATAAAGAACCATGCTAAGAAATAACAGTTATTCTAGGTATTTTAGGTGTTCCGATCGAACTGAATTATGAAGCCACAAATAAAAAAGACTTACTTGCAATACGGATAATATCCTCGGTTTTCGTGCCACATTCTGGAAGCTCTCCAATAAAGCTCTCCGTACGATCATTTTTATGAATTTCATGGAAAATTTTCTGCCGCATTTCTTCTAGCTCATTTTCAATTTTTTTCCGAATAGGTGGCAAGTGGCGAAGAACCGAAAAAGCTGCGGAAACAATACTGGAAAAAATTTCAAAGTAAGTTAGAGGATTAGTTTACCCACAAAAACCGTTCAGTTTATCGATTAGACGGTACTTCTCTTGAACAGCGTATGGACCGGGAAGGAATCGAATTAACCGTTTGCATTTCAGATACAATGCGCTAAACCGCTGCACTACTGACCTCAGTGACTAGTGAACAATGTGCAAATACTTCTACTCTGTGTCGGACCTTAAGGCAGTACACACTTTTCCTTCTTTTCTGCATTCCCATGGGCAGTAAGTAGCTTTCTGTGGCGGCTTCTTTTTTGCCGGCTTTTTAAGAGTTTCTCGTGGTAGTCCCCAAATTACTGAAAATTCATGTACTGCACACTCCGACGAGTGGTGACCGTAAGAACAGAAATTTGAAAAGGTTCTGAAGAGAAGTACGGGCACATCGTGGGGAAGGTCTTGTGCTGGTATACTGAGCACGTAGTTGCGGCTGAATTCGATTCGTATTAGATTTTTTAAAGAGGTTTTTCATTCATCGCTGCACTTCAGGCCTTGCTATTACTGTGCAGTATTTTATTTGTAGTGCCAAATTCTCAAACATTTTCCGGAAAAACATCATAAAATAAAAGCATCATAAGCTTCGTGAAAATATACAAGAAAACGCAGACGAATTGCAGCGCAGGGGCATTTCGGTGTTAAGCAGCAACATCCGAGTGATCGGAGAAGTGAATCCTGTACAAATTCAATCTCTCTTCCAGGACCCTAAAGATTACTAGCAAATTTTTAAATGAATAAAGCAACGATTAAGCAAACCGTGAATGTACTGGCCGTTCAGATGCTCTCCATAAACGTTGAAGTCGCTGGGCAACAATCACAGCACAAACAGTTATCACGATCAACTTCCAGCGGCTAATTCCGGCTAGTGCTTCATCAATAGATGCAACGGCATTAGCCATCGCTTCAGATCCATTTTCGAGAAAACTCACATCTGGTGCATGCATCCTGCACAAAAAACTTCTAAATTTTGAAAGATATTTTACAACAGGCGGCATTGGTACCGGGCATCCGCCTGGAAAGTTCATGCAGAATTTTCATTAATCCAGAGAACGGTTTTAAAGATTACCAGCTAGAAATTCCATATTACAGGTTCTCCATTAGGCTTCATGCTTGTGCAGATCCTTTTGCAAAATCAGAATGCGCAATCAGTTGTTTCTTCGCAGTTCGCTGAGTACAGAAATTTTCATCCAGGAAAAACGACAAAACTGAGGAGGGAGTGAAACAGTGAAAAACACTGAGAAAGACTGTGAAGAAAACGAACGAACAGACAGAAACACTGACCATAAAAAGTCACCAAGAAAAGTGATGAGATGGGATTAGAGAAACTGACGTCGAAAAATTAGTCACTGGGTATTTCTAGGGCACGTCGTTGACCTAGAACGGTCACTTATATAATTCGATGAAAATCCAGCCGCAAAAGAACTCCCAATCATTGCGTTCACGCGCATTCTTCTACCTTCTGCTCCTATTCAACCCTCTTACATCCTTCTCCCCATCACAACCCAACTTCCTCCTCTGCTCAGTCAAAAACAATTTTTTACTTTTTTCATGTTTTAATAATTTATCACACATTTACGGCCGAGCACGAATATTGGAATTTTCAGCAAAAAACGCTTTCTGACGCTACTTAGAAAAATGATGCATTAATAAGGATCCGTGCATGTAAAAGACGGGTTAGCGCGCACCAGAAAAAGCCAACGTGATCAAGAGTTTTGGCAAACAATCCGAAACTGTTCTCCAAATTCCAAATAGCTTTCGCAGTTTCAGATTACTCCAGCTAATATGCCCCCGCGAAAATACACTTCTGCAGAAATGACCTCGTCAAAAAGCGCTCATAGTTTATGCATAAACAAACGTGGAAAATGTTAGCGGACTAACTATAATAATAACTGGGCACATCAGGGAGCCGGTATGATCATGCTTATGATAAGCTTCTCCAAACGCTCAGTTGATGTACCACTGGATAAAAAATTTTTTCATGACTTCCTCTTTGACGATCCAGCGCATGAACAATACCAAAATCTCATATTTGTCGTTTGGTTCGGGTATACATTTATAAATTCTCCCCCTACTAATGTGTATAGTGGCAAATCGGGAGGCACTGGATTCTGAAGGCTGGTTTTCAGCCACCCATCCTACTTCACGTACATAAGCCCAAAAATTTTGAATTTCCAGTTTGTTTGGCCTCAAAATTATAAAATCGACCCGGTTTTGTACTTGAATTCCTAGATTAAGCAACAGAGGAAACTCTGAGAGATGATTTCAGTTCATTTCATAAGATTTCAATTTTCAGCTTTCTTGACTACCTGGCCAAAAAGGCTACCTAAATCCTATCCAGTTCCATACGTCACGGCACGGAACAGGATTGATTTTAGGCTTATGGAGCAGACAACAGTCGAGGACTGCGCCTTAAACGTCGTGGCTCCTGTATTTTCGTAATTTTTTTGTTGTATTTTGTGTGAGAATGCTACACATATAGGTCCAAACATGAGTTTTCATCTGCATAATATACGAAAATGCATCAAAACACTAATAAAAATAACTGACTGAAAAAAATGGACGCATTTTTCAAAAAACTACTGCCTGACAATGTGATGTTTAGTCATCCTACATGACGTGCAAAAATTCAGGTAAAAAACTGAGAAATTGGACCAAAAAGTGCTGATTTCTGGAGTCCACCTCTGGTTAATGGCATTCCATGCAAAAAAATTCAGTCTACTGTAAATAAGCGTCTTACCACGTAATGCATGTTCATATTTCGCGCCATCTAGCGACATTTAATCGCTGGGCCATCGTTTTTACAGGTGACCATACTTTTTATTATATTTAGCCTCCATTCATAAATAACAGAGTGCTAACGGAGTTCGAGCGTTGCTCAGGTAGCTTACGTACCGTTATTTCCCCCTCACTCTACCGCTTTTTTCAATTTCACGATATTTCTGGATTTTATGAGTGCAAACAGCATATCCGATATGATTAAATAGTAGTGTTTCTGGATATTTTTTGAAGTATTCCAGACAGCAATCTCCCGTTCCCGTCTGACTGACCGCAATAATTCATGTAATATTGCCAAAACGGAAATGGCTCGCTACCGTGCTCTGTGTCCAAGCCCTCTCTAATCTTTTCCGTTGCTGGATACCTTGCCATGCCTTCCGCTGCTAGCGAAACTTTTCAGCTAAAAATGGCTCTTAACAAAACGTTTGCTCCTGACAATTTGAAATCTCCTATCAACAGAATGTTACCACTGTTTGGCTTATTTCCGCTTCTGCTTGTTTATTTGGAACTGCATCATTCAACAAGAATCTGGCATGGACTTGCAGTGTGAAGATTACTATAGACATACTCATCACCTGCCTGCGTATAGATGTTAGAGGCAGGCATCGGACAATACGGGGCCGAATGAAATTAGTAAAATTAAATAAAGTGAAAGAAAACTGTCTATACAAAATGATGTGTGACGTGCATGGAAGTTTAAGTATTTCAAAACGGTTGTTTTGTTCGGTTGAATACACCCTGAGAGACCTAAGTGCTGTTGAAAAATTTAAATTTCTTAGAAGCCCAGATAATAAAAATGATCGAAACTAAAAAGATGGGTGTGGCAAAACATGGGAGGAAAATAAAACACTTAACTATGCGTTTCTGCACAGATGCAAATGCAATAAATAGCGGCGCGCACCAGGGCAGCCAGTGCGACCATGCGTTTTGTGCAATTTCGTTCACCGAAAGGTTACCTGCTAATGCTTTCCACTGTCCCACCGAAACTTTCACAGAGCCGTAAGTGATACTCGGATGCGCGGGAAGCTGAATTTAAAATTGTGGACAGAAGACATTACCATAAAATTTAGTTTCTTGGCTTTTATGGTTCCTGAGATAATAATTTCCTCACCAAAATTTTCACGTGGCCGTAGGCGTAAGAACGCTGAATTTGAATTTGCGAGGTCGCACGTCGGTAGGGAGTCGTTACTCCAAAATTTTAGCTTCCTGGATTTCCTGGTTCCCGAGATAATAATTTATCCGCTAAAACTTTCACGGGGTCGTAAGTGATACCCGAAAGCGCGGGAACACCGAACTTGAATAGGGAAGGTCGAGCGTGGGCAGGAGGTTATTACACTGGAATTTCAGCTTCGTATATTCAGTGGTTCCCGAGATAATAATTTACCCATCAAAAATTTTCGCGGGGCCGCACATGTTACCCGCAGGCAGGAGAAAGCTGAATTTAAATTTTCTGGGTAGCACATGGGTGGGGGACATGTCCACAAAATTTCAGCCTTCAAGCTTCCGTGATCCCCGTGATAATAATTTTACCCACCCAAACTTCTACGGGGCCGTACCCGCGGGTGGGGGAGGCTGAATTTAAATTTGCGGGGTCGGGCGTAGGTGAGGAACGTCCCCTTAAATTTTGAGCTTCCTAATTTTTGTGGTTCCCAAGTTGAAAGCTGCGGACACACACACAGACAACCCCGTGACAATATGCGTTTTGTACTGCTGTTACACAGTACGAAACGCATAAAAACGCACATTGTGAAGACTCATGGTGTGTATTTCTGTATGTATGCGTGTATTATACTTGTATATGTGTGTGTGTTTGTTTGTTTGTGTATGTGTTCGGCAACTCAACAATGAAGCAAGTTTCGGCGGTAAAGTTTTGCTTGTGGGTTCTCTGGCTAGGCACGCAGTAGCAACTATCACCCACATTCAAACCCCGCGTACGAGCAAGTAAAAGTTTTGACGGAAAAACTGCTAACTCGAGAACTGGAAAAGCTGAAATCATAGAAGGATATTTTCTGTTCATCGACAATTTGAAGATTTCAACTTCAGCCTCCAGGTATGCGTGGTTCTCACGCATAGGCATGTGAAAATTTTGAAGGGAGAATTGCTAACTAGGGGACCAGGCAAGCTAGAAAGCTGAAATTTTGGGAAAGATGTCTTCTGCCCACATGTGATCTAAAGATTTCAAATTCAGCTCCTGATTGTACATGGTTCTCGAATAAGAATAAGTGAAGTTTTTTGTGCGAAAATTACTGACTCAGAAAGCAGAACAGCTAGGTGATTTTCAGTGAACGACCGCTTAATGCAAGTCGTTTATTTTCCTTTATACAAAATTTACGGTGATTTATGGCAAAGAATGCAGAAGAGCAAACTAATCATGCAATTAACGACCTGATTTTAGCATAAAATACGCATGATCGCACCGGCAAGTTTGGTGCTTTCCAGCCTGGGTTTTAAAAAAGGCGCTGAAAAAAGGGGAAAGTGATTGAATGATTAATTATAAGAAACTAGTTATAAGAAATTAATTTACTGAAAAAAAATGGAAATAACCATGAGGAGGAATGCTTCGATTCATAAAGTCGCACATGGAAGCTGAGATCCACCTTCATAAGGAGACATACGGAAGTAGCTCGACTGTTATCAAAGTGCCAAAAGTAGCAAGTTGTCAATGACTCACTGGCTAAGTTGTCAATGACTCCCCTTCTAAGAGGCTGTTTAAAATTGGCTTCAGTATTTTGCACAGTTCTGCATTCAGGTTTGGATCGATGAGAGCCAAACCCACATGCATGTTTAAATGCAAATTTGGCGCACGTCTAGCTGAGGACATTGCCGGCAATTTAGTAGAGTGACAGGGCTGAGAATGAGATCCTACCAAAATGTAAGTAAATATAGCTAGAATGGAATAATAGTAAAGTAAGCTTTCCAGCAAGTTTAGATGAGGGGATTGGGAGTCTGCGAGATACATAAATGAACAAAGATAAAGCGGGGTTTTTTTCGATGTGCGATTTCACACTGGAACATATTATAACGCACTAAAATCGAATAAAAAAACTCATGAAATATGTGTACAAGACCTTTTGAATGAATCTAATCACTAGCATTGCAGTTTTCATCGCCTTGCTCTTCCAACAGACCACTGAGAATGAATCGTCTTCAGCGCACGAACGGCAAACGGTATGTTTTTCCCGTCGGTAATTCGGTAATGTTGCAGCGTAAATGTACACTGCGAGTAGGCAGCGATTGGCCTATGTATCAAAGTACGTGTAATATCGGTCAATCGTCTGTGCCGCAGACAGAAAAAGAAAAATCAATGACTGTCCACAAAACTTCAAAAAATGTGTGTCCACAGTGACCACCACTAACTCATAGTGATGTAACCCGGGTGTAAAACGTAGCTATTTCCAGGCTTCCCCACGCCCAAAGCACGTGCTCCGAGGCAGCACGAGCGCCCTCAACCAAACCCTATGACAATTCTGAAGCCAAAATTCAAAATAACTTCACTGTCCTATCTTTCCTAATTTGTATATATATATATATATATATTTTTTTTTTTTTTTGCAAAAAAGATGTCCAAAGACGGAATTTTCAAAGATGAACTCGAAACAGCCCCTCCCTGTGTTGCGACAAATGCACCGTTGACCTGACCTGATTACCCACTGCGTTCTCTTCTTCATGTCCTCCGTGTGGTTTTTTGATCAGTTGAAATGAACTTCAACAGCGCATGCAGTACGAAGACAAAAGTACTGTAACTACCGATAAAAACCTCGACGCATGGAACAAAGCAAATGAAAAGCGAGAGATAAAAGAGGCCCGAATAGCTACCATGCCTGACTGCAATTTTATTACAGGACAATATTAAAATAGTTATTTGTTAAAATTTTCCAGTTTCCCTACCAGTATTTGCAAAACTGCGATAGTTCATGGCTTGCTGGTCCAGAACGATATTATTATCAGTTCCATCTACGCGAACAATCATGGAGTACCGCTCGAGAATACTGCCTTGCTCTGGCTTCCGATCTCGTCGTCATACGGAGCATGGAACAACTGGTATATTTTTTTTTTTTTTTTTTTTTCATTTTTGGGAAGATTCTAAAGAAATGAGCCAAAGGAGCATCACCAGTAAATTCACCAACTGTTTTGGGCATTCCTATGGAAGTTCGGCTAGCAGCACTGTTTACACTCACGTAAGGTGTTTCAGCACTATAGCGACACCGACACAGGCGCAGTTATACGAGTCCAAGTACCACTGCACACACGGACGTAAATTTTAGTTGATACTGCGACCACTGAAGTGTAAAATCCCGTGCTCGCTGTGTGTACTTTCCCGGAAGTCCACTCCTGTTGTGAGTACTTTTATGAACAAGCTAATCACAGTAGACATCCGGCCACGTTCAGACAAGGGAGCGAAAAGAAGAAGGGGGAGAGGGAAAAGAAAGCTCTATACCACCAATAAGAATAATGGATAAGGTATTGTGAAAAATGAATAGCGAGAGCAGAAAAGTTTATGTGACCAATGGTGGCGGCGCTTCAGATGTGGATCGTGGCGCATTATCCACCAGCAAATCCAGCAATGTGGCCAGAAAGGACTGTACACATTGGGCTGCATTTGGTTGAACGAAAAAACAGCACTGATCAGGAATGGCGTTGGGTCAACGACTCCCCGATCGCTGCTAAATTCCTGTTAGTTGTTATGCCTTGTCTGTGTGTGTCCGAGCGTATTTGTTCATTTCTTCTCGGGGACCACAAAAACTAGGAAGTTGAAATTTTAGAAAACCGTTCCTCGCCTGGGTGTAGCCCCAAAAATTTAAGTTCAACCCTCACGTGTGCTTAAGTCTCACGTACGATTATGTAAAAGTTTTGGCGCCAAAATTAACGACTTGAGGACCAAAAAGGTAGGAGACTGCAATTTTAAGGTAATAATCCATGCCCATTTATGTCCCCAAAAATTTAAACTCTGCCTCCATTCAAATCTCTTGTACACACACGCGGAAATTTCGGCGCAAAATTTTCTGCTTCGAGAAAAACAGATGGAAAGCTGGGAATTCAGCATGATGCTTCCTCTAAATTTCTCCGGAACTTCATATTCAGCTCGGAACTTCAAATTACAACTCCGGAACTTCAAATTTAGCTTTTATGCACATGCGAAATTTTATGAGGGGAATTTTTAGTTGGGGAACCAGACAAAATAGAAAGCTAAAATTGTTGGAGGATGTTTTCTGCTCATGCGCAAACCAAGATTCAAGACTAGCTGTCATAATCGCCTGCTTTTCATGCATGGGTAGATGGGATTTCGTATTTTTGCACATACTGAACTGTAAAACAGTGAATACTCCTAACCGTAACTGCTTGCTGGCCAGAAGTTTCGCAAAACGCATAATCGAACCTGTTATCTTGGTATATGCCGCTATTCAATCACATGAACCCACCAAATGGAATATCAGTGCGCGTCCTCGATACAAATGAGGCCACAGCGAGCGCAGCCGCACCGGTTCTGGGCGGCTTTCTTAATCTCTCTCCCCCTCCTTCGTCATCAGCCACATCCATTAACTGCATATCAAACTCAACAAAACGATCACATCCTGGTACCATGGCACATCTTACGTGAAAAAAGCCCATCAGACGGAACATGTAGCGACGGAAGCATTTCTCAAGCAAACTAGCGCAAGTAAGGAACACATAAGGCGTTTGGGTTTATACATGTGTTTGTGTGAGTGTGTGTGTGTGTCTTAATGAACCAGTTTCAAAAAATATAGCTTGAAAGCTGAAATACTGAAGCAATGAGTCGTCGCATACGGTTCTACATAGTTGAAATCTGCATTAGTGTTGTTTCCATATCGTAATGAAGTGAGTTCAAATTCAGGCTGTTTCAGCTTGAGAACAAAAATAAGCCACAACTTGGGAATTTTCTGGAACTGAGGTACTAGACAGTGGAAGCTAAAAAGCTTAAAATTATTTCGTTGCATCTAACCTATGTAAGTGCAGCGAAATTCAGGCTAACTTTAGAAATTCTAGAAAATGGGTCACCTATAAACAAACTAATGCGAGACTAACTTCCTGTCATCTGCCAGTACCAGTTTTCCATTGACACGTACGAATGATAGTGGAGAGACTGGTTATTCCACAGACGGAGTCGAACCTTTGACCTTTGAGCGCGATAGCAGTGCTACTACAAATGCGCCATGCTTGCCAATTTCGTGGTACGGCTACTACTAAATTTATAAAATATGACTTTATCCAGTGATCAGACTACCACAGTTATAAATGTCGATATCGTGTTAGTCAATGACAGTTTGCCCCTGAAGCAGCCTCATTTGACTAGGGTTTATTTGATACAGCACAAAAAACCCTAAGACTTTGGCAAATACAGAAGAGCAGTCGACTGCTGTATCTTCCCTTATTTTACTTCGTTCTGAATAAAAAAGCGAGGAAGGAGCGCGGAACAAATATGAGGAAAGAGGGATGAAGGAAAATGGAGAAAACACAATGTTCAAAAGTAAAATTCGGAATCATCCAGAGAGTGGGAAGCAATCCTGAAAACAAACGAAACAAAAGAAGCGGAGCCGGAAGAGCGTGGCCGCTGCGCAGTACTAAGCATTGATAATCTAGTACTACGTGCAGTGAAATGTCATGAACTGGTTAATCGATTCATCTGTGAACGAAACGAATCGCAACATCATGAGGTTTGTTGCTACTAGATTTTTCAGCTCAGAAAACCTGGTGCACGCTCTTGAAAATTTAATACGTTTCAAAGAAAACATGTCTTCAAAGAAACAGGTGATATTAGAAAGTTGTCCGATAAAAACTACAAAGGTTGGCTGCACAACAACAGAAATGAATATTACGAAGAACGAGTGGAACTGAAGTAGCTGGGCTAGGGGGAGGTGACTAGGGCTCACCCTGATCACTAGCTAGTATTTATGCGTTTTTAGCAGCAATGCAATGCGAAAAACGCATAATGACGAGAGGTTGTCTGTGTGTATGTGTCTGTGCGTGTGTGTGTGTGTGTTTGTGTGTGTGTGTCTGTGTGTGCGCTGGCCCTCTGTACCGACTTTTCATTTCGAGACCGGCAAAAGCTACAGGGCTGAAACTTTGGGGACTTAACCTACATGCACGTACGGGCCCCTATCCCCAAAATGGGCGGTCT